GTCCACATAATCCCAATGCTTGCCGATTAGTCTAGATGTGCATAGCTTACTGCAACGGAGTGGGTCAGTAGTGCTGGAAGTTTATCGAGCACGCTTTTGTTTGAGCCACTTATCTGAACGAAAACATTCTGTAAACCTTGATACCTAGTTAGTACCCAGGTTGCAAATAAGAAAGCAAGTATTTCTGTATAGGAAAGGTATCAGAAATTAGCATCAGCTAACATTATTTACATTCTGTACCCCATTCAAAGTTAGGTGAATTGAGATACCAACCCATTTTACCTCCGATCTCATATCATCACAGACCACCACAAGTTGCTGTAAACGAATACAATTCCTGTGAAGAAGAACAAGCTTGTTTATGCAAATGTTCAGTTATTACTGACAGAAATTAAATGCCACTAGTCAGTCTCGTTTCAAGCAATGACCGAATAGCATCTTACATCAGTGAGAGATGGTGTATCGGATGGAAACAGGGAGGATTGTTGTATAAGGAAACATTTTTCGGAAAGACTGGACAGGAGTGGCTACACGGTAAATTCGTAGCCCTGTGGACAATAGAACAGCTTCAGGAATCGCGACCCGATCCTTTATTGTGTGCTGTACCTGCCATGATCCAACTCACCTCCCTCCGCACTCACACCCTGTGCCCAACACAACCACAGCACTACACACGTTGAAAAACTCAAGTCGCCATCTTGGTGACCTGAACTCGTTGTTCTTTGATAAGTAGCTAATGTCGTCTCTCACTCGATTTCCTGTTCACGTACACCATTCTCATTAAAATATCTTAAATACTGTTCTCTTAATCTTTGCGACTGTATGACTTGACGAAAACATGTTCATCAACCCATGTATGACCTGAACTTTCTTTGATAAGTAGCTAATGTCGTCTCTCACTCGATTTCCTGTTCACGTACACCATTCTCATTAAAATATCTTAAATACTGTTCTCTTAATCTTTGCGACTGTATGACTTGACGAAAACATGTTCATCAACCCATGTATGTCTTTATTATTAAGGGGAATTTTCGGAGAGTTACTGTCAAAACTACAGTCGTCGCTGTTTCGTAAGACCAGTGTCATCAGTCGAGAGTTTCGTTTTAAGCCCCCCTCTATCATCTTTAAGAAGCAAAGCAATCCAATTTAAACAGTAAATTACATCCAGGAATGATGCTATTTTATTCCCTGCCAGTCCTGTGGAATCTTTTGTACAGATTGGTTACATCAAATAACAGAACCTGAGTAGGACGGCTTCAAGACTAAGAATTGACGCATCCGCTGGCATTTGATTTGGTTCCTCTAAAATTGCAGCATGAGTCAGCCCTGCTAGTAAGAGATAATTCGGAAGAACTTGGACGTATTTGTGTGCTCCAAAATACAAATACAGTATGCTTCAAGACTCAGACGTCAGTTTTGAAGGCATGAGTATTAGGACGTAAACCAGCACACTGCTTGCCTTTGAAATGCTCGAAACGTGGTTAACCCGATAGAACGTCATTTAGGAAATCAAAAGCATGGCAACAGTGGCATTTTAATGACAGGATCAAGGTAAGTCCTATCCGCTATTGTTGAGAAACTCTGTCTACTGAAACAGCGGAATCTGTTGCCTGAAAGCAAAGAAACTCGAGAAAATTCATCTATTTGTTACCAAGAATTTTCAAGGTATTATCACTAAATTCATCACATTCAAAGTTATCCGGTTCTTGTTGCTTGAATGCTGGTTTACAGGCTACCGTTATCATAATGGCCGGTTGGCTGTATTCAGGAGTCGTCCTATTTTATTAGGGTATCGCAAAGGCCAACAACACTGGCAGATACTCTTTCAGTTTGTTTACCGTCTTGATAAAGTGGAATCATTCAAAAGGAGTGCGAATGATTGTGGGATCTGTTCTTTTCCAGCACTTTTCGAAGTGGCTATTCGACAATATCCATATGCTCAACAAAATACCAGCAAGTCGTGCAGTACTTTGACAACTAGGTGGCAGATGGTTCCGGAAACAGCTGCATGTTACCGTGCTGGAGTGGTGCGCTGGTACGTTGATATGCAAAATCCTAAGTGGACAAACGGAAGGTATCCAGTCCTTAACGTACATGGCGATGTTCATTCTCATGCCACCGTTTTAAGCACCAGTGGCACGAAAAACGTTATTTGCATATTTGCCTGCAGATCTTATTTACTGCGGTTCACAGCCGCGGTACGGGCTTGCAAGCCACACTCTATTCAATTCCACAACGACAGATTAAGGCTTCCGAAAAGCGTGGTTAGGCTAAAGTTCATCTGAAAAATGGATTCAGACGCCACTGCTTCATATATACATTTACTTTGTTGGTTCTCTTCTTCTTTTCTCATTGAATGCAACAGGATTCCGCGTTGTATTTTCTCCGTTTTGCGCCTATGCCCCTTTAATTTTGACCTGAACGTAAACCACGTGGGTTTCGTCATCTTGTGGCCACGTTGTCTTGAGTCAGTGTGAACTTTGAGTAGGCGTAGTGTTTTTATCTACCTATTTGTACAAAGTCCAACTGCGAATTAACAGTACCCAACCCGGTGAACAGAAGTTGGCATAATCCCACGATCTGTATTTATAGTATCGCATTTCTTGACAAAACTCCATTTGTCGTCACGTGGATCACCTGATGACTAGGAAACAACCACTACACACATGGTCCAAAATTAATTTGCATAGAGAAGGCTTAACTGCTCCCCTAGGAAGCTTCAACCCGATCACTAAGATTGAAAAGTCGTTTTCTGCATTCGACATCGGGTTCTCGAATCCATTGCTTTGACTGATCGAGAAAGAGGACACTTTCGAGCTTCCAATATCATCCGTGGCAAAGGATTAAAATGACGCTACGTTTTGAAATAAGGCTTCCGTAATTTAACTGCTGCCGATAGGAATCGTCCATCGCATGGACGTGATACTCTGCAGCACTCAAGACTACACAATAGCGCATAGACACATGATCTCCACTATACTTTCTGAGCAAACGTCGCACTTGACGTACCTATTTCACGTGTGAAAAACTGAAATAAACCGTACTGTACGCTCTCAAGGTCAGTACTGAATGGGTTAGATTTGAAAGGTGTGGTTTTCTCCAACATTGTTGTGCCTTTTAAGCACAACCAAACCAAAGGACATATGTGCTCGAACCTAGTTATAAAAAGTAAGAACACAGTACTGTGTTCAGGTTCCAGCAAACTTGATAATTCCATATGATGATGAATTTGCCGAGAAACCAGCGAGAAGTTCGACAACTCCTCAGACGTGGACAGTAAACAACAGCCTATCGTGGCCATCACAACCGAAACTGAATAACCATACGCCTGAAGTATCCTGTATTTCTCATCTTTTTGTAGCCTCGCTGTTTCGTAATATTCACCAGTGTCAGAATGCAAGTATCGTTTAACTTTTTTCGGAGCCTGATGACAAAAGCCCACTAACCTAACATCTAACAGGTTCAACCCAAAGCAGACATAATGTTTTACTTCCGGTAAGTTGGCACAGCAACTTAGTTTGGTGTCTACTTCAGGTGTACGAACGAATGCTACAAAATTATGACTCCCAGCGTGGACTCCGCGAGATACAACACTCCCAAAAAGAATGTGATTTTTGATCAACCAGGAGAGTAAAAGATTCTAGC